TTTTGGAGAAAAAGAAGTGAAAATCACAGACTCTACCATTATGGAGCTTACTTTTTTAGTAAAAACATAGAATTGAACCTTTTTTGGTCTCCCTAGAAATTGCAACAAACCACAGGATATAATATAAAACTAGAGGACTAGGGCATGAAATTCATGCAGAGGGGGAGGTTTTCCCTCAGCCCGCTGCGCACTCTTGTAATCCCTAGGATCAGGCCTAAACCAGCATTCAGACATCCCTTTCAAAATCTGGGATCACTGGCTCCTAACGGCTTGCCTGCTTGACTGCCTGATCGCCCCTAACCACTCTGCCTGACTGCCTGATCGCCCCAACCACTCACCTGCCTGATCACCCCAACCATTCACCTGCCTGCCTACTCAGTGCACATCATAGCAACTGGTCATTCTGCTGTTAGGTCGATTTGCATAGTACCCTTTTATTATATAGGATAGCTGAAATACTATGGACTGTGAGTCAAGATACTTTGGTCTCATTCTAATTTGATGTGTATATTTAATACATTTCTTAACCATTGCCATCTATTTCCCTATATGCCATATAGGAATAATATGGTTACTATAAGAACAGAATCAGAAAACAGATGCAAATCATACTGGAGGGGAATTGTCTCAATTTGATAAAAGGCACATATGAAAACCCCACCCCTAACACCATACTTAAAGGTAGAAAGACTGAAAGCTTTTACCCAAAGATTAGTAACAAGACAAGGACGTCTGCTCTCACCACTGCAAGGTTCAAAGTAAGAAAATTAAAGAAAAAGAATCAAGATCTGAAATTAAGAAGTAAAAGTCTCTGTATTTTCAGATGACATGATCTTATATAGAAAATGCTCAAGAAGCCACACACAAAAATAACCTTAAAGCTAATAAATGAACTTAGCAAGGTTTCAGGATATAAGGTCAATATATAAAATCAGCTATATGTCCATAAACTAACAATGAACAATCTGAAAATGAAATAAAAAACTCCATATATAATAGCATTAAAAAGAATAAAATATTAAGGAATAAATTTAACAAAGTACATGACTTGTACACTGAAAACTACAAAACATTGCTGAAAGAAATTAAAGACCTAAATAAAATTTTAAAATTCTGCATTCATGGATTAGAAAACTTAATTTGTTAAAAAGGCAGTAACACTCACATTGAATTATTCACAGCAAAGCCTACCAAAATCCCAGCTACCTTTTTTTTCTCTGAAACAAAATTGACAAGATGAGTCTAAAATTTATGCAAGGGAAATGTGAGGTACTCAGAATATGCAAAATAATTTTGAAAAAGAAGAACAAAGTTGGAGGACTCACACTTCCCAATTTAATAACTTACTACAAAGCTACAGTAATCAAGATTATGTGGTACTGGCATAAGGACAGACATATAGATCAATGGGAATAGACTAAGAGCCCAGTACAAACCTTTACACTCATGGTCAAGATATTAAAGAATTACAAACTGCCACTGAAATTTTGAGCACCCTATTAAAATACAAAATTATCCTTAAATAAATAATTTCATGTGCCCCTGAAAGCTTAAAAATGACATGTAACGAAAAATGGCCAAGGGATTACTAGCATCTGGTCAAGATGTCAGCATATGTAAATGAGGTATTCACATTCTTCCACAACCACATCAGAATTACAGCTAAATAACAAAACCACCATTGTTCAGAACTGCCTGAAATCTTGCTGAACAGATGTCCTACAACTACGGATATAAAGCAGCAGTCATATTGAGGCTGGTAGGAGGGACAGAGATGCAGAATGGGTTGGTCCCACACCCACAGGCAGGTAAAAATTGGGAGAGATATCTCAGCTGCAGACATCACCACTGAGGAGTGAGGGGCCACAGCCTGAAACCCAGGCCCCTAGACCGGTGTTCCAATGCCAGGAAGAGAAGTCCCCATAACTTCTGGCTGTAAATACCTGTAGGGATTGTGGCTGAGTGAGACTAAGGCTGCTGGAGTCCCAGCTGTTCCTCTTAAAGGAGCCATAGACAGATTTACTTGGACTCACTCCATTTGAGCTCCAGCACAAGGGCAGAGCTAGAAAGGCACCAGGAACATATGGGGAGAAACTGAATTATCTCTCTTCCTCTCACTCTAAAAATGCAATAAAAACATATCATCAGATGAGGATTTTTTTTTTTTTTAATCACTGGTTATAAGGATGCTCAATGAACAAAGAGATAGAAACATAAAATGGAACTAGAAAACATAGAAAGGAACCAGTCAGAAATGAAGAATACATGAACTGAAATGGAAAATACATTACAGGGAATCAACAGTGGAATATATGAAGCAGAGAATCAAGTCCAAGATTTGGAAGATAAGGAAACAAAAAACTTCCAATCAGAACAGCAAAAAGAAAAAAAGAATTAAAAAATAAGGATAGTATAAAGGAGCCTGGAGACAACTTCAAGCATACCAACATTTGCATCATGGGGCTGTCAAATATTTGAAAATCCTACACAAAAATATAATGATAGAACCCTACCTGGTTTGGCTCAGTGGATAGAACATTGGCCTGTGGACCAAAGGGGCCTGGGTTTGATTCTGGTCAAGGGCATGTACCTTGGTTGTAGGCCCTGGTCAGGGTGTGTACAGGAGGCAACCAATCAATGTGTTTCTCTCACATTGATGTATCTCTCGGTCTTTTCCTCTCTCTTCCATTCTCTCTGAAAGATCAATGGTAAAATATCCTCAGGTGAGGATTGACAACAATATATATGTATATATGTGTGTATATGTGTGTATGTGAGTACACATATATATATTCAAATGGAGCATACTGAGTGGAGAGAATGGTATGTGTTATTATATAAATAACTTGGTATTATGATGCTATCTGGCTGAAGATCTTACTTATTTTGCAATTTAGAGAACATAGACAAATCAGGCATTGAAAGTGAGTATGCATGCCTAAGTGCATGACTTTATTTTCATCTGTAATGACCACATGACTGGTCACCAGGAGATGCATTGATGGGTCCTGTGGCATGGTGGGTCTGGTGTCTCACAGTGTGGCAGATCTGGGTGAGGCTGCATGGTGTGTGTCAGGACTGGGGGACCTGAGGCTGCACACACTTGCCCTCCCCCTCCCCCCCAGCTCCAGCACCAAGGGACCCGAGGCTGTGCCCTCCACCCAGGCGCCAGGACATGAGGCTGTAACCCCAGCCTGGCGGGTTTGATGGGGGTGGGGCCGGCCAAACATTACTATTATAGAGAAAGGAAAATAGAAATATTAAAATATTCCCTCTAATTAATTCTTTTTTAATGTGCACGAACTTTGTGCACTGAGCCACTAGTTAATAATAAAATGGCAATAAATACATATTTATCAACAACTGAATCTAAAAGAGCCAAACAATCAAACAAACTGAATAGAAACAGACTCATAGAGAACTTTTTGATAGTTTCCAGATGGGAGGGGATTTGAGGTGGTGGTGAAAAAAGTGAAGGTATTAAAAAATACAAATTTGTAGTTACAGAATAGTCATGGGATGTAAATTACAGCATAGGAAATATAGTCAATAATATAGTAATAACTATGTATGGTGCCACGTGGGTATAAGATTTATTGAAATGATCACTAAGTTATGTAATGTCTAATCACTGGGGTATAAACCTGAAACTAATATAATAGTGCACATCAACTGTAATTGAAAATAAAAATAAAATAAAAAATGGCTAATCAGATGCAGAATCTTAAAGATTTACTTGATCATGAAGTATTTAAAAAGCCAAGGCTCCATACAATCCATTTATATTTCAGTGTTTGTTTCTTGTGTTTGTGTCTGTAAAATAGGCTAAACTACATAAGAAAAATAAGTCTAACACTTAAAATTTACATGGAAGGCAGCCAAAATTATACAGATAATTCAAGCTAAAAACGTTCTTCACATCTTGGTTTCTACTGATTTATTTAGGTAGTCTGAGATTTCTTTATTATTAGAAATGCAATCCCTAACTTGCAGTTGTTAAGTCTATGCTGGCTATGTATACTGACCCAAGAAATGCTGCAACCATCAAGTTCTATTAATATACTTCCTAAACTTATAAACTGAAGAAAATAATCATTACAAATCCACACCTCAGACTCTGCTGCTAAAGCGTAGAAGTTGCATAGTATGTACTGACTGCAGATTCTCAGAAATGTTTTGTTTAGCTTTATGGATAGTCTCAGATGATAAAGTTCTGGCAACAAATTCCACTTGCTAGGGAAACCCATGCCACATAGGAATCCCTTGTCTTGTGTGTTTGAGAAGACCAACTTGATTACCTGGCATCATCAGGTCAAAACTTGAAGGAAGCTTGGATGGTGTTGCTCAGTGGTTGAGAATCAACCTATGAACCAAGAGGTCACAATTCTATTCCCATCAGGGCACATGTCCAGGTTGCCGGCTTGATCCCCAGTGGCGAGGGTGGTGGTGTAGGGGGATAGAATGCAGGAGGCAGCCAACCAATGATTATCTCTCACCATTTTTTTTTTAGAGAACGTGGGAGGGGGAGAGGGAGAAACATCGATGTGAGAGAGACACATCGATTGATTGCCTCCTGTAGGCACCCAAACTGGGGCTGGAGAGGCAACTGAGGTACATGCCCTTGACTGCAATAGAAGCCAAGATCCTTCCAATCATCAATAGGCTGAGGCTCTATCCACTGAGTCAGACTGGCTAGGGAAATTCTCTCTCATTCCTTCTGTCTCTCTCTCCTTTTTCCTTCCTCTCTGAAATCAATAAAAACATATTTAAAAAAAGACTCGAAGGAGTATTTTTTTAATGTATGTGCTCTTTTTGTGAAATTTTCCTTATTAAATAATGCTTTTGTTTCTTTTGGCCCAGCATGATTTCAAATTATCTCCCCAATTGGAAATACCCATGTTTTATGGAAATTTGATCATTTTTTCCTCTAAGGATTAGTATAATGAATTGAGCTTCCTGTCAAGAAAAATGCTAAGTTCAAAGTATTTTCTTCACTTCAATTACAAATAAGTTTTACCTTTTATTGTGTTCTGTTATACAATTTTACATAGTACCATTATTATTTTAAGCAATAATTAAGCAATTTGGATTAATGTTTTTTGAGCTCTATTTCTCAGTATATAGATTTACCTAAAAAAGTACAAACTAAGCACAGGGGTGCAATTTTCCAGGCACTTCCACGTTGCTTAAATATTTACAAATATGTAAGCACCCTGTTTGAAAGCATGAAAATTTTGGTGTCAGAAGGGAACACTCCATGTATATCAAGTCGTTAAATTTTAACATTTGCACAGCTCCAAATATTCCTGAGAAAGGTCAGTCTCGTTCTCACTTTACATCTGTGGATCCTCATATTTCAGCGGCATATCTTGGGGAACCATAACTTCTGTCACTCGATGTACCACTAATTGCACAAAATACATGTAATGTGTCGTTCATCCAGGGAGAATGCATTGTGTCTTCTTGTATTATCTAAAACAAAGGAAATATGCATGTTTATCATGAAGCAAGCAGCTACTGCCAAAAAAGTATGCGTATATGCAATTACAGGCATATTCAATTTATCAATGACACAGCTATTTAAAATAACATCAAGCAAAAAGAGCAAAAAATAACATTACCAACTTAAGTCTTCAAAGCTGTATTACAAAGGCAGCATAGTAAAAAAGCAGAAAAGATCTGGTTATTCATTAAGAAAAATAAAAGACTGTAAAATGCAAAATTCAGTGAGAAGTGAGAGGTAATATTATCTTTAAAAAATATTTTTTAACACACGGTCATAATAAGAGCTCTAAACAGTAGACTCTTTTGACATGACTTTATGGACCATCTTCTAACACAGTGGTTCTCAGGATCACCTGTGGGGTTTTATAAACATGCAAATACCCATGAACCTTCTCTGGAGATTTGGGAAATAATATTAAATGAAGAGAAATGTTATAGTGCATATTTCTAAACACACACTATAATTATATAAGCTACTAATTGATACATAAGATTTTTATGTAAATGAAGAATTTCATAAAATATATTTTATAGCCCATAAATATAATATAAACATGTATATTCCTATTAGTATATTTTTAAATCACCTATTTTGTGTGATCAAAAGAAACAGAGATCTTATGTTTAGATTAGATGAAATAAAATAGCACACACATAATATCCAACATCTTTAAAATTATACCATCCCAACTTAGGTTTCAAATTTTCAATACTTGCTTTCCTCAAGTTAGCTCTGAAACTTGAGTATTAATCCTGCAAATTGGTCCATAGTGGCAGTAATGCATCATATCACTTATATTGCTATAAATCATGTCTTATATAAAATCCATAATAGAGACAGTTCCTCTTTACAACAATCATCATGCATGACATGTGTCTGAAAGCATGTTTTAAGAGATGACTAATTGCCGAAACCGGTTTGGCTCAGTGGATAGAGCATCGGCCTGCGGACTGAAAGGTCCCGGGTTCGATTCTGCTCAAGGGCATGTACCTTGGTTGCAGGGACATCCCCAGTAGGGGGTGTGCAAGAGGCAGCTGATCGATGATTCTCTCTCATCGATGTTTCTAACTCTCTGTCCCTCTCTCTTCCTCTCTCTAAAAAATCAATAAAATATATTTTTTTAAAATTACCTTTCAGATGTAATCAGTGAAATGGGCAACTCAATGGCCAACAAAAACTCTATTTAATCAATAAATCTGTAATTAATAATTTTAAGACATTATAAGTCCTTTTGAAAAAGTTAACAGCTTGAAGAAGTTTTTAAACTTCTTTTTAAAAGGACTGTATATTTTGGTATACTGTGACAGATTATATTGAAAAGAAAAAGCCAGGCTATATGTTTTTGTTAAGTACTCATTTAGCAAACTCAACAAAATAAATCATATTTCAATACACATTTTTAAATTTTGTATTACATTTTCCTTTGGGAAACAATGTCTCAATGTATATGACTGAAAAGCAGTTCTCTTTTATATGAGAATCTAATAAAAATATTGATTTACAAAAAATTCACTATAAAGTCAATGTTTTCCCCAAGTAAGGCACATTTGAATAAGATGTATTATGACAAGAGAGCTTGCATAAATATAAACCAATAGAAACTAAGATTTTTTCTTGGTTATCTAACAATATATAATCTCCTGGGTCTAAAATATTGGTCTCTACAACTAAATAAAACAGTCATGATTTATGGAAATTAAATGAGACACGTGGAAATTTATAATAGCAGATTTGTAAAATTTATAGTTCAAGGAAAAGAAACTATGAAATGACTGCTCTAAATATCTTGATCACAGTCATTGCAATAAATTTAATAATTGTTTTCAATTTGAATAACAGTTCATGCAGCTAGGTCATGCAGTTGCATGCAAATTAAACAATTTTAATATAGTACACACTGGCTTAAAATAACGTGTAATTATTTTATATCTTTTGTGAAGGAGGAACTTTTGCTGTTTTTCCCCCTATGGATTGTGAAGAACAGAAACCCATAAACTGGACAGTTTCTAGGAATAAATTATGTCATCTATTTGATAAAAGCATACCTCAGAAAAGTGATGGTAAAGAAAGGTATACCCCCTATACTGATGAACTGAGCTTGAGAGAGAGACAATAATGAAAGTGGAATCGTTCCCCACTTTCCTAGTTTAGATAACCTGGCTGCTTTGAGAAAGACTAAAAAGAGCCTATGAAAACTGAGCAGCAAAGGGATGCATTGGAACAGTATGCACTCATTCCTAAGGGGGCTAATAGAAGTAAAGATAGAAAAAGAAAAAAAAAAATAACACTGACTCCAGATTCCTTAAGCCAACAAGATTCCCAGCCATAAAGAAGGGCGAGTAGGAGATTGGGACAACCAACTGGTCATTTAAAGATGGGATGATGAAAGTCTGGCTGACTGGATTCTCAAACTATGACGATAATGAAAGTTAGACTTCTGTCACTCAATGCAGCCTTAGGCTAATAGTAACTAAATTCCCTATTGCTCTTCCTTAGAAAAAGCAGACAAAATAAATCCAGAGAAGTAGAGCTTGATTTAAAATCAACTACTTGTTTTCCTGGAAAAATTCTTCTTTTCTCCATCTTACCACTGTAGTTCTTTGGATGCTAACCACTGTCAGCCTGTTTATTATTATTATTATTATTATTATTATTATTATTTTATTAAATTATTACTGTCAGCCTGTTTGTAAGTACACCCTTTGTGTGGCAGTCTCACACAGGTGACTGCCTTCAAACTATCACTGAAATACAGACAGCAGAACAGATGTTGGTCTCCTTTCCGGAAGCAGCTTTAAGAATGTGTTCTCTAAATGGCTGTACTTGAATGGCATAATTTGGCTCACCATAAAGTGGTGAATGGGTCTTTGCTTCTACACTTTTCAGGTTGGGTTTTACCAAGTTAGCTATAATTGTCATTAACACTCAGTCATAGATTAAAATGCTAATAAGTTTTATGAAAATAGGGAGTTTTGCAGGCTGTATGGGTATTAAGACAATTTCCAAATTTTGGAAGTCACTCAGGATCTCACCTAAATAACAGTATCTAGTTTCTTATAGCCACAATAGGGATAGTCATTTAGGGATTTGGCTATTGAGCCAATCATTAACTTCTTTAGAGACTTCTAGAGAGACTCATCCATGTTCAAAGCAGAACTATGAAGACTTGTTCTGCTAGTCACTTCGAATGGCATTGTTACGCACAGAACAATATGGTTTATTTCTTACCATTGCCTTAGCAATTGCCTCAGATATTTGCCTCAAATTTGATTTGCATTATGCCATTTAAATGATTAATAATATGAGCAAATTTTAAAATACAGACTGAATAATTTCAAGGTAATGCATTTCAAACAGATTTTGTTAAGTAACACTTAAGGATCCAAGATCTTGTTTTCATATTCAACCACCCTAATACTTGCCTGCTCGTGGATAATGTCAGACAATTCTTTCACCATTTCTCTGAAATTTGACTTTAGGCCTTCATGGTATTCTATTTGATCCTCTTTAATTAGCCGCTCATTTAGTTCAAGTGCAATACTGCATGCTTGTATGAATTTCCTGTGGATGAAGATCAAAGATAAAGGTTTTGTTATTTACTCCCAGAAAGTCTCATTGATAATCATTTTGACATTAACTTTAACTATGGCTTTCTTATCTATAAGGAATATTAGAATCCTGTAATCTATCACTGTGTCTTTGCTAATGCCACATCCTATCTGAAATACTCTTTCTTTTGTTTTCTATCTTTTCTCTCAAGTTTCTTATGTCGTTTAAAACCTGGTTCAAAACATATAACCTTTAGGAAGCCTACTTGTTCAGTCATTTACTTGATATTATATCAACTAAATTTGTGCTAACATTAATTTGCATTTGTAGATAATGAGTCATCCACTCAAAAATACTTCATTTGGTGCTCACTATGTACCCAGGATAGTGCTGGGTGCTGTAGGTATGAAGTATTTGCCCCAAATTCATAAGAGTGGGGGCAAAGTTGATGACTTGCCATGAAAGTACTTATCCATTATTTCGTGTATTTATGTTTAATATCCATAACTAGAGTGTAAGGTCTTAGGAGACAAAATACCTCATTGCCCATTTGTTTTTTATTCCTGTCATAGCAACTAGAAGAATATTTTTGTACATGCCAAGCCCTAATAAATATTGGTGAATGAATAACTACTGTTATTCTGCAACCCAGAACAGCTGGTAACACACAGGAAAAGTAAATGAAATAAGTTGGGAGCAAATGAATGGGTAATTTTACTCTATTTTACTCAACTGTCTCTCTTATTCTGAAACATTCCTTAGCTTACAGTGATGCTCATTCAAGAGAAGTTATTACATGTCCGAGACTGGCAGAATTCAAGTGGATTTAAGGACATAGGACAGGAGGCAAGCCTCTCCAATCCTCCCAGTTCCACTTATATTCCTACCCTAAATGGTCAGAAATGCTGTGGCATGAGGTTAGTGGGGCAAAGGAGGAAACTGCGTAATGAATTTAGGCTTGTGTTTGTGTCACAACATCCAAAGCAATAAAGTAAGTTGGTATGTTTAATCTCTTGCATCACTAGGGCATTGTTAATGTTCTGCAGCAAGAAAGAGATCCTGCACTTACTCTCTAATTAGCCTTAGGAGGTCACTTAAATATTGTAAAAGAGAACAGAGAATGTCTTTTTCTGGACAGATATTACTTGGTGAACATTTTGGTTTCTTTAAAGAAGAAAATGGAGTACAAGAACAGTGAAAACTACAAAGCACTTACCTAAACATATCTTTCAACTCGCTGACTTTCTTAGATGGATACTTGCTAGCTTGGCTGTCATTTAAGAAAGCTCTTGCATATGCTAATGGACCAGCATTTACCTAGATTACAGAACAAGAAAAATGAGAGTTGTTAGAATGTAAATTTTTGCATTTCTCTTAAAAAACAATACCCAAATACATTAAAATTCCGCATCTGAGAAACATATTTACTATTCTTACTATAAGCTTACATGAGAAATGATTAACTAAAGCAAATAATCTGCAAAGATGACATGCTAATAAACTAGTTAATGATTTCTGATTGTAAATACAGATCTTGGCTATAGTCAGAAGGATTTATGTTAAAGTCCTCTGACATACACAACATTTATTCAAATTGACATAGTTTCTGTATTGAATTAATCAAAATTAATGCACAGGTATTTGTACTCGATAGGACTATATCACTTAGGAAAGCAAGAAAACACCAAGAAACATCTAAGACATGTTTGACAACCATCATACCTGCACTGAAACACAGCCCTGCAATTTCAGTTGGAGCTGAATCATGTCCACATCAGCAGAAGAGCAAAGTTTTTGCAGCTCTGCAGTTTTATCTTTTATTTCATCAGTAGCAACATCAATTGGCTTTAAGTTAATCTGCTGTTCATAGTTTATAGGGATCCTCTTCTTAACATATGGAAACGAGTTTGAAGCTATTAAAATATTAAGATAGATTTACAATCTCAAAAAGTCATTTGTTCAAACAGTCAAATTGATTCTTAAAAATTCACTGTGCTTAATTTTCCCAAGGCCTTCTCTAGACAATATCTTAGGGTACCACCTTATTACTTCAGAATTGAGAAAGAAATTATCTTTATGAGAGACTTCAATCATGATTTGCATATAGAAAAACTATGATTTAGCACATACCTATGTTTGTACAAGAACAATGAATGATTAAAATTTCAGTTATATTTTCTGGCTGGCCAGCTGCTACCTGTGTTTATTTCAAAGGACCAAGTCAAACAAGTCATATGCAAAGTCCTACTTACTAGTCAGGATTGTACGACGTTTGCACTGTTCTTCTATGCAGCCTTGCTTTTTGCCAGATAATGTATAAGGAGCCTCAAAAACAAATTTGTTGATATTATGGTTTCTTTCAAACTCGGTCTTTCTTTCTGTGAGTTCTTTGTCATCAAAGTAAGGCTTCACGTAAGTGACTTGGATATGAGCATATTTTGGATCAAGCTCTTTGGCATTTACCTATAAATAAGAAAGTTCTGGTTTTTATTGAATAAAATGGAAAAGGGGGTACAGGTAAGCTACCAACTCTTTTGAGATTAATTGAGGTACATTGCCACTATGACCATGTTCCCAAATGAACAGACACTTGGAGGAGGTCTTTGTTCTTTTTTAGGGATCATTTCCTTCTAGATATATAGAAGTTACAGAAACCTATTTGGAGATTACAGAAATGCAGGAAGAATATAAAAACTATAATCCTACCACTAAGTAGTGACCATTATTCACATTTTCATACATTTACTCCCAATATTTTTCCTATGCACATATATTTACAAAACTGAAATCATTGTTTTATAATATGAATCCATACAAATATATCAAAATTATTAATTGTATATTTGAATTCTGCCTCAATAAACATGTATTAGAGAGAGGACTCTGAGATGACAGAGCAGCAGAAATCTACCTTTCTACCTAGAAAACAGTTACATTGGCAGAATCTGTCTGATGAAACTATTTTGGAACTCTAGAGTCTGTTGATGATTTGCAACTTCTGGGGGAAGACTTAAACAGAAAATTGCAGTTGATTTTGATTTTGGTCAGTTTCTGCTCTTGGCACAATGGCAGCTCATACTCCTCACCTCAGTCCCATGTCAGGCAACTGTGCACATGTTCCTGGAACAGCATTATTCATAACAGCAAAAACATGAAGGCAACCCAAGTGCCCACCAACACATGGATAAACAAAATGTGACACACACACACACACACACACACACACACACACACACACACAAAATAGAATGTTATTTAGCCTTGAAAAGGAAGAATATTCCACAATATGCTACAACGTAAATGAACCTTGAAGATATTCTTTTTTAAAAAAAACACATTTTATTGATTTATACAGAGAGGAAGGGAGAGGGATAGAGAGTCAGAACATCAATGAGAGAAAATCATTGATTGGATGCCTCCTGCACTCCCCCCACTGGGGATGTGCCTGCAACCAAGGTACATGCCCTTGACTGGAATTGAACCTGGGACCCTTCAGTCCACAGTCTGATGCTCTATCCACTGAACCAAACCAGTCAGGGCAAAGATTCTAATTGAAATGAGCTAGTCACAAAAAGACAATTCCACTCATATGAGGTATTTAGAGAAGTTAAAAATCACAGAGACAGAAAGTAGAATGATGGTTGCTATGACAGAGGGGAGGGGAATGAATTATTGTTTAATGGGTAGAAAGTTTCAACATTACAAGAGAAAATGGCTTTGAAGATGGTGAGTGGTAATGGTTGCACAACAATGTGAATTAAGTTCATATCATTGAACTGTACACTTAAAAATAGTTAACACAATATATTTTATTAGAGGCCTGATGCACAAAAATTTGTGCAAGAATAGGCCTTCCTTCCCCTGGCTGGCTTCCCCTAGCCACCAGCAGGCACCCAGGATCCTGGTTGGCTTTGCCTGGACCACCTGCAGGCACTCGGGACCCTGGCTGGCTTCGCCTGGGCCCCAGCTTCGTCAGGAAGGATGTCCGGAATGAAGTTTGGAAGACGTCCAGTCTAATTAGCATATTACCCTTTTATTATTATAAATGTATTCCAGGTCAGTGGTTGCCAATCTTTAAAACCTCACAGACCACTGATTGACAACCGTTGTTCCAGATAGTGCCCAGTACCCTCTTTCTGTGTTTAAGCCAACTAATATTGGCTTGTGTTGTTGCTAATATCCTTATATTTTATGATAGTCAGGCCTTTTTGTGTTTAGTGTAGGAAGCAAAATATCAAACAAAAAAACAACAGAAATCTTCTAAGAAATAGTCTCTGTAACTCTTTTTCCTTTCACATATACAGGGTATAGAAAGTTTCTTACATCTTTTTTAAAAATATATTTTTTATTGATCTTTTACAGAGAGAAAGAGAGAGAGATAGAGAGTTAGAAACATCGATGAGAGAGAAACATCGATCAGCTGCCTCCTGCACCCCCCACAGGGGATGTGCCCACAACCAAGGTACGTGCCCTTGGCTGGAATCGAACCCGGGACCCCTCAGTCTGCAACCCGATGCTCTATCCACTAAGCCAAACAGGTTTCAGCTCTTACCATCTTTTACCTTCTCCAAATCTATACTACTTGCTTTTACATAAAAACCTAAAAGCCTTTTTCTAGAATCCTTAACCTTCTTTTAGCTCCCATTAAAAAGCTAGATCTCTCCAGAAAACCATCAGAAGATAGTTGAGTTAATTATTTGGCTAAGACAAAATGAGGAAGGAAAATTAAAAAGGCCATGCCTGAGTTTAACTTTATAAAGTGAATTATGTGTGATAAATCATTCCAAAAGTACACAAGGGAATATATAAAAAGCAAAAAAAAAAATGTCTTTCTTCCCATGTAAGACTCTAGTTCCTCTCCTCAGGGCTAACTAGGGTTAACAATTTTATATGTATTGTTCCAGAAATTTTCTAAGCATAGTTTATACAAGTGAGTATATGTTAATAAGTTTTTATGCAAATGTGATCATACTAGCTATACAATCCTGCACCTCATCTTTTTCCCTCCTAAGCAATATATCTTGGTAGATTTCTAAGTATTGATATGAAACTCTTAACACTTAGGTTACTATATCCATTGGGGTAATACTACCATTTCTTTAGCCATATGGACATTTAGTCTGCTTTCAGGTTTTTGCTATATAAACTTTGCCACAATAAATACCTATAAACATATATCTTCATGTATGTACATCTACAAGATAAAATTTTAAATGAGCAACTGTTGGGTCCAAAGAAACATACAGTTTAAAATATTGGGATATTTTACTGAACTGCTCTTTACAGTGTATGTACAATATTGTTCTTTGGCAATGTAAAAGAGTGTTTTTTAAATTTTTACTCTCAAACATTAAGAAATAGGAGGAGAAAACAAGATGGCAGCATAGGTAAAGACCTAAACTGCTGCCTCGCACAACAATTTCAAAACTACAACTAAAAGACAAAACATCTATCACCCAGAACCATGGGAAAGATGGCTGAGTGGAAGTTCTACAACTAGAAGAAAAGAGAAAAGAGCATTGAGATGTGCACAAGCGCTGAAAAGCTAAGATATAGAGGCATGCAAATTAGGCTGGTGGCAGGCATTGCTTTTTTCAACCTGAAGGGAGACAAGCTCCCGATTACTCTGAACTCCAGTTTCTGGGGAGACACTGGGGACCCAAACTCCTACAGGGAGAAGCTGGACTGTCTGCCATTGGGTCAGAAAGTGAAGGTGGCTTGCTTGTAGAGCTGCACGCAGAAATCATTGTTTACTGCACTGGGACATGAGACATGAGGATGCAGAAACTCGGAGACACAGAGACAGCTGACTGGCAGCCATCACTGTTTTCCACACCATAGCCTAGTGACTCCCTGAGATCCCGCCCTGCACAATCTACAAAACTACTCAAGCTCCAAGCAGCAGCTTTTGCATATAAATGGCCTGCCCTATCACAGCTTAACCTAACAAACTGCAGCTCTTGCCAAAACTGGTTTGGCTCAATGGATAGAGTGTCAGCTTGGGGACTGAAGGGTCCCGGGTTGGATTCCGGTCAAGGGCATGTACCTTGGTTATGGGCATATCCCCAGTAGGGGGTGTGCAAGAGGCTGCTGATCGATGACTCTCTCTTGTCGATGTTTCTAACTCTCTATCTCTCTCCCTTCCTCTCTGTACAAAATCAATAAAATATATTTAAAAACAAACTGAAGCTCTGGTCAGATAGCTCCAAAACCTCCAAAACCCAAGCAAAGAGGAGAAAACTGTAGTTCTCACTGTAGCTCCTGCTGGGTGCCCTCAGACAGTAGCTGAACTGCACCCCACTGGAGATCCAGAAGCCAGTGTACCTAGTGGTCAGTGTGAGATGACACCAGATTTCAATTACTCACATCCATAAGTGACACATTCTAGAGGTAGACTCAGTGAGCACCAAAGCCCCACTCAAACAAGTCCTGCCCCATAAGCATGTCTCCAGCACAGCAGTTCTTCAATTATAGACACAGCAGGTCCTCACAGCTAATTGGCCTGGAGGTCAATTCCTCCCAGTGTACCAACAGCAATCAAGGCTTAACTACACCAAGACTTTGCACTCAGCCCACAAAGGGATGCACCAAGAGTGTCCACCTCAGGTGATTGGGGAGGCTGAGCCACTGGGCCCTATAGGTCACCTACCACACAAAGCTACTCTATAAATACAAGGAAGCAGCCAAAATGCAGAGACAAAGAAATATGTCACAAATGAAAGAAATGGAGGAAAGCAAACTACTGGACATAGAGTTCAAAATCACATTTATAAGGTTACACAAGAATCTTCTAAAAACCACCGAGAAACTTGATGAGACCTCCGAGGAGGTTAGTGAGACCTACAAAAACCTTAATGTGAATGCTAAAAAAAAAAAAAAGGAAAATGACCAGTCAGAAATTAAGCATACACTGTCTGAAATAAAGAATATACAGAAATTCAACTGTAGATCAATGGACCCCAAGAATCAAACCAAAAATCTGAAATATCAGGAAACAAAGAACACCCAACCAGAAAAACAAAAAGAAAAAAGAATCCAAAAATATGAAGATAGTGTAAGGAGCCTCTAGGACAACTTTAAGTGTACCAACATCTGAATTATTGGGGTGCCAGAAGAAGAGAGAGAGCAAAATATTGAAAACATATTAGAAGAAATAATGACAGAAAACTTTTCCTACCTGGTGAAAAAATAGACTTACAAGTCCAGGAAGTGCACAGAACCCCAAACAAGAGAATCCAAAGAGGACCACAGCAAGACACATCATAATTTAAATGCCAAGGGCAAAAGACAAAGAGATAACATTAAAAGCAGCAAGAGAAAAACAGTTAGTTACCTACTAGGGAAAACCCATATGACTGTCAGCTGATTTCTCCACAGAAACTATGCAGGCTAAAAGGGAGTGGCAAGAAATATTCAAAGTGATGAACAGCAAGAACCTACAACCAAGATTACTCTGCCCAGCAAAGCTATCATTCAGAATTGAAGGTCAGATAAAGAGCTTCACAGACAATAAAAAGCTAAAGGAGTTCATCACCACCAAATCAGGATTATATGAAATGCTGAAGGGTACTCTTTAAGAAGAGGAAGAAGAAGAAAAAGGTAAAAATAAAAATTATGAACAACAAAATGACAACAAATACGTACCTATCAACATGTGAATCTAAAAATCAAGTGAATAAAAAATGTGATGAACAGAATGGACTGATGAATATAACAGAATCAGGGACATAGGAAGGGATTGGACTGACAATTTTCAGGGGGAAAGGGGTGTGAGTGGTGCAGTAAGAGATTGGACAAAAATCTTACACCTATGGATGAAGACAGTGGCGGGGCGTATGGGCATGGGTTGGGGTGGGGAATCAGGTGGAGGGAAGCAATGAGGGGAAAAAAAGAGGAACACCTGTAATAATCTGAACAATAAAAATTTATTTTTTAAAAAAGAAATAGGATGTTAAAAGCAGCAACTTCTTATATCTGTTGCCTATAGGGAATGACTAAAATACTGTGCATACAAATAATGTCAGGAGTCCAGGCACCTGATGGTGGTTTGTCATTAGCACATGTTGTCCAGGTTTTCAGAGGCAGAATAAAACAGAAAACTGTATGCTGTTCAGCAAGCCTGGATTTCCATTACTTCCCCATTTATAGTATCAGTAGTGTGGCGGCAAGCCTAAGACTATCTGGCTATAAGGAGATAAAAATCTTCTGCTCTCTTAATCCAATAAAACACAAAATAGTTAAAACTAGTAACGAAAGAAGCCAGGAGGTCCTGCCAAATATTAATGAATCTTGGACCTACCAGTAAATCTATTTTTAAGATATGTAGATAAGTCTACAAAGTGAAGAGATGATTTACACTATGGGCAGTGAAGTCTCCACCATTGCCATGGGCTTTGCACTCTGACAATGCTGCCTACTAGCTGTTAAAGGCTTTGCAAAGCACCATTTTCCATGGGGAAATACTGCTGTGATCTACAGATCCTAATTGTATATGTCCTTTATACCTTAAAGATCAGCTATCTGGTATAGCCACTGTGGCAAAAAGTATGAAGTTTTCTTTAAAAAAAAATTTTAAATGGAGTTCCCATTTGACCCAGTAATCCCACTTCTAAGAATATATCATAAGAAATCAGACACACCAATCAGAAAGGATATGTGTACCCCTATGTTCACAGCAGCACAATTTATAATAGCTAGGGTTTGGAAACAGCCTAAGTGCCCATCAGCAGATAAGTGAATTAAAAAATTGTGGAATACTATGCTGCTGTAAAAAAGAAAGAACTCTTATGATTTGCAACAGCATGGATGGACATGGAGAGCATTATGCTAAGTGAAATAAGCCATTCAGAGAAAGATAAATATCACATGATCTCACTCATTCACTCATTTGTGGAATATAATGAACAACATAAATTGATGAACAAAAACAGATCCAGAGACAGAGAAGCATCGATCAGACCATCAAACCTCAGAGGGAAGACAGGGGAGGGTGAGGGTAAGAGATCAACCAAAGGACTTATATGCATGCATATAAGCATAACCAATGGACACAGACAGTAGGGGGGTGAGGGCATGTGCTGGGGGGGGGGGGGGGTGAGAGTGGCCAGGGAGAGATCAATGGGGGAAAAAGGAGACACATGTAATACTTTGAACAATACAAAATTTAAATAAGAAAATATCAGCTCTGTTCCTGGGCACTCCCACAGTAACTAAGGAAGATCAGGAATTCGTGCAATGCTTTCCTGAAATTCTGTCTATAGGGACCTATGCATTTCCCAGGAAAGAGCCTCTCTTGATGGAACCTTTCTCATGCTGTCTTGGCAGGGCCTGATGAGATGGATAACCTTTGGAGTAAGACCCAAGGTATCTCTCCTTAACCCACTTCATTATAAATGTAACTACTGAACTAAGGATATGTTTAGAATAAAATGTGTGCCTCAAGATGACTTTAATCATTAACTATAGCATTAAGAATCATGATGAGCAATGGCAATCAAAATAATAGCTAACCTTTATTAAGCATGCTGGCTTCTATTATTCTTAATGTTTTTTATATACCAGAAACTCTAATTATTTTGCATATATTTACTCATTTAATCCATATAAAACTCCATGAGGAAGGCACTTATTATTATTAGTAGTAGTAATAGTAGTAGTATTAGTAGCAGTAGTAGTAGTAGTATTATCAGCTGTTTCCTGAACGCCGCCCTCCACCCCCCTCACTGGGGATGTGCCTGCAACCAAGGTACATGCCCTTGACTGGAATAGAACCCAGGACCTTTCAGTCCGCAGGCCGACGCTCTATCCACTGAGCCAAACTGGTTTTGGCAGGACATTTTTTTTATTGATATGAGAGAGAGGGAGAGGGGGAAGGGAGGGAGAAAGACACATTGATCAGTTGCCTCTCATATGCACCCTTACTGGGGATTGAACCACAACCTGTGTATGTGTTCTGACTGGGAATCGAACCTGTGACCTTTGTGTGTATATAATGACACTCCAACCAACTGACCACACAAGCCAGAGCAAAGGCACTATTATTATCTCCATTTTACTGAGAAAAATAAGGCACCACAAGCCAGAGCAAAGGCACTATTATTATCTCCATTTTACTGAGAAAAATAAGGCACAGAGAGGTTAAGTAACTTCCCCATGGTCATACAGATAGCAAGTGACAGGGAATGGAGATTTGGATCCTGCTCTCTTTGACTCCAAAGCCCCTGTCCTTTCTTTCACTATCTGGAAAGACTCTATTTCCATGCTTCTCCTCCACCAGCTAACAAAAAAAGTCAAGAGCAACATACCATGCTTGGAACTACCAATTAATGATTTCACGATGTAGGGTATAGTTACCTTGTCTGAATCCTGAATTATTTTCACATTCTCTGTACCAAATTTTTCACCATAAAGTTTAACAAGTCTCAAGGAAATCTCTGAGAGGCCAGTAAGCTTTGGCTCTTTGTAGATGTACTCCTTTCCATCTTCTTCTTCAAAAAATGACTGTTGTAAAGTTAAACATACAATCATTTATAAATAGTATGAGAAATATTATTTAAAGAAAACATACTAAATAACTACCAATAATGCATTTGAAATAAAAGTACTAAAATCCAAGTCCATATCTTCTCCCTTTTAACATCAGATAAATGAGAATTTTTCAAATTCACAGTTATATGAATATGACTGGCCTACAAATTTCCACACTAGATTTTTCTTGTTCTCACTATACTTACCTATTTTTTACTTGAAGCTTGAACTACTAGATATTAAAAATATACTTTTAGAAGCTTCACAGAAAATGAAAGAGAGGGAAAAATTTAAATGTTATATGCTGGACTCTGACCTAAATGGGTTTAGATATGACAGCCACAGTGAACTTTGGACTTACAACAGAGGCTTCCTGCGGTTGTGATCGGCACTTTATCTGGACAGAATTCTAATAATGTAAAGGTGAATATTTGAAAAGAAAAAGAACTTTATGAACTAATGTTTACTTACTTGGCCATAAAAAGCAACTCTGAAGAAAGTGCCTAAAAGTCTTTTTTTTGTGTGCATAACCTCCAGAATTTTTGTGTAAGCTCCATGAAGAGTTCTATAAACTTGAGTTAGTTTCTGAAAAAATGAGAATATACAAATCAGCTTTGTCTATTGGTTAAATATTAAAATGTATTTAAGATAAATGCCCAAGGGTAAGAAGAAAAATGCCCGGGGGGGGGGGGGAGACACACAATATTTCCTTGTCAAAATGGTTTTGGTGGGGTCATTCACACCCCCATCCCTACTATCACAATTAGACAAAATCTTAACTTTAGGTCTAAGGATAGAGCTAACAAAGGTCAAACAATACTATATTTTTAAATATCATACTTTATTCCATTAACATCTCAATGGTAACATGCACTTTAAAAATACTACTATTATTACTGACTACTATTTTCAATATTTCTGAATTATTTAAACTGAAACAGAAGCAAAATGTTTTCCTTGAATCCTTAGGTGGAGAGGTAGAATAAACAATTCATGCAAATCCAGGCCAGGAGCGGCCAGGCCTAAAGCGGCCGGACCCGGAGTGGCCGGACCTGGAGCAGCCTGGCCCAGAGCAGCCGGGTCGGGAGCAGCCAGGCCTGGAGCAGCCGGGCCCAGAGCTGCCAGGTCGGGAGCAGCCAGTCCCAGAACAGCAGCAACCAAGCCCGGAGCAGCCAGGTCGGTAGCGGCCAGGCCTGGAGCAGCAGCAGCCAGACCTAGAGCAGCCAAGCCCAGAGCGGCCAGGCCCGGAGCAGCCGGGTCGGGAGCAGCCAGGCCCGGAGCAGCCGGTCCCAGAGCAGCCAGGTCGGGAGCAGCCAAGCCTGGAGCAGCAGTGGCCATACCCGGAGCAGCTGGTTGTGGAGCGGACCAGAGCAACAGAGGCCAGGCCCGGAGCAGCCAGGCCCGGTACAGCTCGATCCTCGTCTGCCCACGCCCCAGGGCTGCCTCTCAGACATGGCTGGAAACTTTTGGGGGAACTTGAGGGTCTGCTGAATCGAGTGATGAAGGCTTAGATCTGGATGTGTTGAGTTAGTATAGCGCTGGGGTGTTGATCTGTGAGTGCCTTGTGTGGGGTCTGGATGAGGTTGGTTGATCTTTTGGAAATGTCTTTTGTATGAAGTGTATCCTTGGGCATGTGAAGGTATTGATTTGAGAAAATGCTAAGTAACTGATTTACTATCTGAAAAATCTAAAGTTCTGAAAGTTTAAGGTCTCTTGCCAAAAAGAAGTTTTAAAGCTAACACCTTAATTTTAATGGAGAAAGGGAATGACAAGCCCTTCCCACCCAGAACAGGTAATCCAATTCCAACCAGCAGCTATCTTTAAACAATGTGTTCATTTACATTTGAATGGCTACACCTTCTGATAGCCTAAGGGCAAGTTTACATGTAAACAAGTTTGCTTTTCAATTCCCAGGGCAGAAAAAACAAGGTTTAAAATTATTAGATTTTAAAATTTATTCTTAGAAGTGTAAAAGTTTATTAATTAAAAAACAACAACAACAACAACAACAAAAGGAGATTGAAAAACCTGATGAACAATATTAGCTGTTGATGGTAGTAGAGTCTGAGATAAGGGAGAGGAGTGGCCTGACAGTTCTTGGGGAAAAGGGGAAGTGGTGGATGCGGGAAGAGACGGAACATAAACTGTGCACCTAAGGATGAGGACAATGGGGGGAGGGGAGGGGGAAGAGGGTGGGGCGGGAACCTGGTGGAGGGGGGAAGAAATGAGGAACCTTTGTAATAATATGAACAATAAAGATTGATTTAAAAAAAACAATTCATGCAAAAACTTTTGGATATAAAAATGAAATACAGATACAAAAATAAGTAATAGTATAAGCCTCAGTGAGGTGTGCTTTTATACATGTAGACAGATGTTTTCAAAGAATATGTTCTTATGCACACCCAGAAAAGGAGAGCACATGGTGCAAAGAACATTATTAAGAATGTGAAATGACAATCTATAGAGTGGGAGAAAATTTTTGCCAATTAAAATCTGAATGAAGGTTTTGGATTAGGAAAATATTGAGAACTCTCATAATTAAAAAAAAGACAAACAACCCAATTTTAAAGTGGGAAAATCAACAGGTACATGAAAAAAGATGCTCAACATCACTAATTATTAGGGAAAAGCAAATAAAAAAGATACCACTTCACACCTGTTAGAATGGCTATTATTAAAAAGGCAAGAAATAAATGCTGGCGAGGATTTGGAGAAAGGGAACTCCCTGTGCACTGTTGATGGGAATATAAATTGGTGCAATTACTATGGAAAACAGTATTGAGGTTCCTCAAAAAATTGAAAGTAGTATAATCAACTGATACAACAATTCCATTTCTGGGTATTTTTCTAAAGAATAAAAAGAAACATGCATCCCCATGTTCATTTTAGCATTGTTTATAATAGCCAAGACATAAAAACAATGTAAATGCCCATCTATGGATGAATGGATAAAGATGTGTGTGTGTGTGTGTGTGTGTGTGTGTGTGTGTGTGTATTCACAATGGAAAATTATTCAACTATAAAAAAAGAATAAAATTTTGCCATTTGCTACAAGGATAGACCTTGAGAGCATTATGCTAAGTGAAATAAGTTAGACAGAGAAAGATAAATACTGTATGTTCTTATATGTGAAATATACAAAACAAAACAAAAAATAACCACCCAGAGCTCATGGATATAAAAAACAGATTGGTGGTTGCCTGAGGCAGTGAGTGGGAAGTGGGCAAAATGGATGAAGGGAGTCAAAAGGTACACATTTCTAGTTATAACACTAGTAAGTCATGGATATGTAATTATAGTACGGTGACTACAGTTAATACTGTATTGCATATTTGAAAGTAACTAGAAGAGTGGATCTTGAAAGTTTTGATCACAAGAAAAAAAATTGTGTAACTGTATATGGTGATGGATGTTAATTGGACTTATTGTGGTGATCATTTTGCAATACAAATATTGAGTCATTATGTTGTACTCGTAAAACTGATATAATGTTATATCAATTATACCTCAATAGAAATTATATATAAAAGAAAAAAATATGAGCAAAGGACTTGAGTATACATTTCTCCAAAGGAGAAATACAAATGTTCAACTAGTACTTAGAAAGATGTTCAAAATATTTGGTCATTAAGGAAATACAAATTAAAACCATATCTGATACCACTTCACACCCACTAGGATGACTTTTCCCTAAAATACATTTTTATTGATTTCAGAAAAGAAGGAAGAGGGAGAGAGAGAGAGAGATAGAAACATCAATGATGAGAGAGAATCATCCATCAGCTGTCCCCTGCATTCCCCCTACTGGGGATCGAGCACACAACCCAGGTATGTGCCCTTGACCAGAACAGAATCATGACCTCCTGGTTCATAGGTCAATGAGCCATTCCCAGCTGGGCTAGTATGACTTTAATAAAAAAAAAGTGTTGGTCAGGATGTGGCATGTATACTTTGCTGATGGGAAATAAAAGGGAAATCATAGAGTTATATGGCCCATATATTCCACTCTTGGGTATATACCCAAGATAAATGTAAATATGTCCATACAGAAATTTACAAACAAATGCTTACAAAAGCACTATTCCTAATTGTCAAAAGGTGGAAACCACCCAAATGTCTGTCAGTGGATAAATGGATAAACAAATTGTGAAATACCATTCAGGCATAAAAAGAAATAACATTCTGATACATGCTACAAACATTATACTAAGTGAAAAAAAGCCAGCCACAAAAGGTCACATCTTGTATTAAACCTTCTTATATGACATATCTAGAATAAATCCATAGAAACAGAAAGCAGATTACAGGATGGTGGATGAGTGCACAGTGGTTGTTATAAAATGAGTATGGGGTGTTTTTCCAAGGGCTATGAGAACATTTCAAAACTAAAGAGAGGTGGTAGGTGTACAATATCATTAATGCACTAAATGCCACTGAATTGTGCATTTTAAAATGGTTAATTGTAAGTTATGTGAATTTCATCTCAATAAAAAAAGGAGAGTATAGAAGGTGTTCTATCTAAAATTCTTTCCATATTATTTCCTGCATTTGAGCTCAATTTGAAGGAAATTTTCCTTACCTTGATGGTTGCTATCTTTGACATTTTCTAGCCTATCTTTACATACCAGCATCCTAAAAACAATTACTTTATCACATGCACAATGCTAGGGTATCTATAATACACAGGCCCTTACATCCCTACAAGAAAACAGAACTCATTCCTATTAAAAAAAAAAATTGTTTCCTTTAATGTGTAGGGAAGATATATTTTCCTTTCCTCACTATTAGTTGACGGAGTAGCAAAATGCTCCATGGATTTCTAATGGCTTGATATTTAACCTAACAGCAAGAAAGTACATATTTTGAAACTTTTCACATAGTATTGATAGGAGGGGCAATGCCAATTCTTGTCCCATAGGCTATTCTTTTCCATCTAGATGACCTAGATTTATTTAACTCTTGCTTAATTAACACAATCACTTGACCTCCACTATAATTTTTCAGGCATGCTTCATATACACCAAAAGTATGGGAGAGAAAGACCCAGAACCTGGGAAGAAGATGTGAGTTTCATCAGAGCCAGTTTAGAGAGGATATTAGAACACTATCCATATGATGATATTAAGTATCTGTATTCTCAGTCTTGGAAACTTCTTCAATAAAGAAAGACAATCTACCTGCTTGCTATATTTAAGTATAAACAGCTTTTCTTTTCTTTTTTATAATATATTTTATTGATTTTTTACAGAGAGGAAGAGAGAGGAATAGAGAGTTAGAAACATCGATGAGAGAGAATCATCAATCAGCTGCCTCTTGCACACCCCCTACTGGGGATGTGCCCGCAAACCAGGTACATGCCCTTGACCAGAATCGAACCCGGGACCTTTCAGTCCGCAGACCAACGCTCTACCACTGAGCCAAACCGGTTTTGGCAACAGCTTTTCTTTTTAAAAAGAAATGGCTTGAATCCTAAATGAAGCCTTGCTGGCACAGAAGGAGCAGAAATCATGATGTGGACTCAGAGACAAAATTAGAGAAAAATCCTGTTTAATGTTGGTGGCAAAGCTGTCAATTATACTACTATTCTTTATGAACTACCCTTTATCAATAACTTTATCTGGCAAATTAAATTGGAAAAACTCTTAATAGAACTATTACTAGTGTCGTATTACCTCTCCAATTGTCACCTGCCAGCACCTTTAGTCTCCCCTATGGAATTGCAAAGAATAGAATCAAGTTTATGCCTCCTCTGGGGCAACATGAAAATTCAATAGATTTTTAAAGTGAAGGTTTAGTGAAGTCAATATTGATTTTTTATGCCATGAGGGAAATTAGGGAGGTGGCTAGAAAGAACCTCTGGTTTCAGAACCACTGTTGCAATCTAAATTTATATTTTGGATGTTTTACCCTTAATTTCAATTGGAGCATTTATGTAAATATAAGGTAGGATTCTGAGGATTGAACAGCATGTTTTTTTTTAAACAGAGGAATGTCTCTTATTTTATTTTTAAATATATTTTATTAATTTTTTACAGAGAGAAAGGGAAAGAATAGAGAGCTAGAAACATTGGTGAGAGAGAAACATCTATCAGCTGCCAAATGCACTCTCCCCAGCGGGGGTGTGCCCGCAACCAAGGTACATGCCCTTGACTGGAATCAAACCTGGGACCCTTCAGTCCGCAGGCTGATGCTCTATCCACTAAGCCAAACCAGCTAGGGCTGAACAGTATTTTTAAGGATTCTAACTTCCCAAGTGGACAAATGTGTCAAAGTGATACATTAAGTATTTATATTCTAGGATAAGAAAGAAATGACATAATGTAATTAACCTTTCTTTCTTCAGAGGTCATATAATAATAGTAACATAACTATATTACTACTTTTTCCAAGACCAAAATAAAATATTAAATTACAGATTTAATATCTAGAAAATATAAAGAATTCTCACAATTCAACAAAAATGGGCAATGATGCAAATGTGCTTACCTCAAATTCACGGCGTTTCTCATAAATTGGAATGATCAGCTTGGAAATCTCAGAAATTACTTCATAACGTTCTGCTTTCCATAAGCCATCCACACATTGTTCTAGCAACTCCAGCAAAACTTCCTGCATTAAGAGAAAAAATGTAATCAGGAATTAAAAATAGTTTTAGAATTCTGGGCAAATAAATTATGAACCATTTCAAGTCAATAAAGAATAGACTGTACTAATCTAGGGGAAATGGTGAACAGCATAGACTGATGAACAAGAACAGACCCAGAGATAAGGAGCCATGGGTCAGACTGTTGGACCTCAAAGGGAAGGTGGGGATAAAAAGGAGAGATCAACCAAAGGACTTATGTGCACACATATGAGCCTAACCAGTGGTCAAGGACAATAGGGAGGTGACGGCGTGAGTGTGGGGGGTGGGGGATTGGAATGGGGGGTTGAGGACAAATATGTGATACCTTAATCAATAAAGAAATTTAAAAAAATAAAAAAAATGAAATGCAAAGGATTATACTTGAAATATTTGAAATTAAAACCGTTCTTAAAAATATGAAATGAACGTTGACAATAGTAAACTACATTCATTTGTTTTGTTTATGCATATAATGAAGATGTTAACTATACTTACAAATGTTAATATACTGAGAAGGATTATCTTTGAAAAGGGTAAATTGTTTGTTCCAAACTGAGGAGGTCTGAATTAAATTTTATTATTATTGGTTTAACTCGTGTATTTTAATACAGGCACTAAATCAGGAGTGAAGAACGTCCAGCCCATGGGCCATATAAGGCCCATGATATCATTTGGTCTGGCCCTGCCAAAGTATTAGGGGTGAGTTAATTAAATTTTTGACCAAATATAGCAGGCTAATTTTTAAGTTGATAATTTTATATGGCCCAAGAATGTTATAAATATCCAAATGGCCCTTGGCAGAAAATAGGTTCTCAACCCCTGCATTAAATGGACAACCATTTGTATTTTTCATTTAAATAAACTTAGAAATCAATATCATTTATTTTTCTATTGGCTAGGGTATAAGGAAGAAGCCTTATTAAGTAAACTAAAACATAAAAGAGCACTTCCTAGAACATGATTTATCTGTATATATCAAATAAAGTATATAAATTATGACTGCAAATCACAAACAAGTTGTAACAAACTGTTTACATAGAACACTGAGCATAGTTATCTACACTAATCTACATTAATAAAAGAGAAAAATGACAATTGACCGTGCCTTCGCTATGCCCACAGCCAATCAGAGTGTGCAAATTAATACAAGATGGAGGTTAATTTGCATATGGAGGCCAGAGTGTTGTGAAGCCTGCTATGAGGGGAAGGGGGGTGGCAGAGGGAGCTACTGGAGTGATGCTCCAGACAGAAGTGAGGACTTGCTGGCTCTGGGCGGCTCAGGAGCAGGGACTTGCTGGCTCTGGGTGGCCCAGGAGCTGGGATATGCTGGCTCCCAGGTGACTTGCCGGCTCCCGGTGGGAGTGGGGTCTTGCTGGCTCCAAGGCAGCTGGGGTGGGGAGCAAGGACTTTCTGGCTCCTGGGTGGCTGGGAGTGAAGCTAGGGGCCTATTTTTGCACCAATATTGTGCAACAGGCCTCTGGTTGTCTAATAAGAAACATTACTGCTTTCCTTGAGAGTATAAAAGAGAGTCAGGCTCAAGGACATTTCTATGAATAAGCCAAAGCTGTTGTTTTGGAAAGCAAGGACAAAACTAAAGTTGTGCGGATCATTTAATTCCCCTGAACTTCCTGGAATCTTTCTGCTGCCGGCCATAACAACTGGAATTCTATGGAAAATTATGTAAGATTCAAAAAGTGAATTAATTTACCCAAAGGGTCACAGTCAGATAATGAATTGGAATTAAAATTCAAGTATTTTGATTTTGTTAGCATTAATTCAGCAAACATGTTTTAATCTAGATACTCTTCTAGATTCTGGGCATAAAAAGAAACCTCACTCTCAAGTAAGTCAGTGATAAAGCCTGACATTTATGCAGCATTTAATGACTTATAAAGAGCCTTCAGATTTACTGTGAAGTAACCAGGGTAGTATTACTATCTTTATTTTATGGACCAGGAGACAGACCCATACAGAAACAGTAGGAAAAGCTTCCAAGCATATCATTTTAGCTTAAGTAAACTAGAGCTAATTGAGATTTGTTTGTATTATAAAGAACTACTAATAAAGTTTTTGTGAAGTGTGTCTCTATCACTTTAATCTGACTGCTTCTTGTGTTTCTTAATACAACTTAAAAATGTATTCATATGGGACTACAGTTCCTCAAATCTCCCTGCTTTTGATTTCTCTCTCTCTCTCTCTCTCTCTCTCTCTCTCTTTCTCTCTCTCTCTCTCTCTCTCTCTCTCTCTCTCTCTCTCTCTCTCTCTCTTTTTTTTTCATGTTCCCATTCTTCAATTGTGAACTTCTGTATGGTTCAGTCCTTAGTCCTCTGGTCTTCATTTGCAATATTATCTCCCATCCTCACTCTGCTTTGATTCTTACACAGATATGACTTCCAGATGCAGATTTCCAATCCCGATCTCTCTGCTTAGGTTCAGTTCTGAATTTCTCATGGCCTAATATTTATTTTCATTTTGATAATCTTTTACTTCAAATTCAACACACATCAAAAACTGAATTCATAATCTTCCCTTTAAAATTATCCATCTATCATTTTTCTCTAATATCCAAACCTGAAACCTCAGAGTTATTTTGACTCCCTCCCTCCCACAGCCAGCAAGTTTTCCTCTTTGTGTCAAAGAGTTGCCTGAATTGGTCACTATCTGGTTTAGGCCAACTGTATCACATCTGGACCCTTAGGGTAGCCCCTTCTCTAGCCTTTGCCTCTAGCCCCCATCTATCTACTTCCAATACATATTACCGCTGAATTAACATTTCCTCCTTTTTGCTTTGACCTTATCATGATTCGGCTCAAAAACCTTTAATAGCAATTCAACAGTCTAATGAATAAAGCCCAAATATTCAGTTTCTCAAGATTAAGACCTCAGCCACTATTTCTCTCTATACAAACCCCTGGTTTAGTCCAAAGGATCCATTTACTTGTGCCTAAAACCTGCCTTATACTTTCCCACCACTTAACTTTTGTGCCTGCTATTCTGTTATTCCACCTTCAGAGTGAACTCATTCTTCAAACCCTTCTCTATTCTAATACCTCCTCTGTTCTACCTCAGTTCAAAGGCATCTCTTTCACCTTTGACTTTGCATGGAACATACTGTTTATATTATTCAAATGGCACTGTCTTGTTTTCATTCTGTGATGGTGTCTTATCTCTCAGGTAGACATTAGAGGCCAGAGATCAGACATATCTAATTATTTATAGCTCCTATATCATCAAGTCCAGAGCTCATAAGTCAGTGCTCAGTAAATATTTGTTGACTATGTGACAACTGAATCCATTTTCTATCCATATGAAGTTTATAGTAGAAATTTTCCATTTCAAAAATATTTGTATAGATCCTCTGTTTAACTACTACCTTAAAATATTTTAATGGAAGATTCTCCAAACTATGCTGACCCTGATCTGGTTAATGTGATGGTGATTTGAGGATAATAAATGTTGCATTTATAAAACCAGACAATAGGAAGAGTTCCAGAGACAGGATTCTCCACATTCCTAACACAAACATCATTGCTCTGGGCAATCTTAATGCTTACAGTTCATCAACCCTTAGTTATCTTCCAAATTAAGTTAGTTGTAATAATTGTTAAATAAACATATATTTAAGAAGTTTATATAACTGGCAATGCAGGCCCTGGAATCTTACTTCAGTATAATGGACATCCATCATTCCAGCATCTTCTTTCATTGCTCCTTCTTCATCTATATTGGGAGTAATTTTCTTGAAGGCTGCACATCCATTAGGGAATAATTCTGTGTGAACAAAAAAAACCAAACAAACAAACACACACACACACACACAAAAACAGTGAAGTAAATTTATATAAGAAAGTATATTGTAAATAATAGCCTTACAGTGATTAGTTACCCTTAAAAATAAACCTGGGTATTTTTTTTTTTTTTGTGAAAATCAAAGGTATAAGTACAATTTTCAGTTACAAATTTTTTAATAAATTGTTTTTATCTATTACATATTCTACCAGTCTTTCCCCAAAAAAGTGAGCTCAACTTATTTACAACTAAGTTTCATTCTCCGACTACATATTATTTTCACTGGCTAGTACAGTAAGTGTTTCTCTAGTGAGATCTAAAAGCTGTTATAAATAATTTCATCCTGTGTTCAACTATGGTCTCGCCTAAACAAGGAGGGCATGTATTTTTCAGGTAATCACTGAAAGAGTTTCTGTTACCATCCGTAGCTCCTAACTTTACTGGAAATTTTTTGGGAAAAGTCGGTTGTTGTGGGAGTCCTAACCTAGAACTTGTAAGACAGGCAGAATAATAAAACAGATGGTGCCCAATGGAGCAGCTCAGTAGTTGAGCATCTACCTATGAACCAGGAGCTCTTGGTTTGATTCCCAGTCAGGGCACACGCCTGGGTTGCAGGCCTGGTCCCCAGTGGGGGGGGGGGGGGCGTGCAGGAGGCAGCTGATCGATGATTCTCTCTCATCATTGATGTTTCTATCTCTCTCTTCCTCTGTCTGATATACATAAAACATCCTATAAAATAAAGAACTAATAGGCTAATTAGATTGAACAGCATTTGGATGAAGCTGGGACTATGAGGGCTGGTCAAGGCAGCTGGGGCTGAGCCTCTTGCATGATTTTCGTGCATTGGGCCTCTAGTATTTTAATAAAATAAAATAAAATAAAATAAAATAAAATAAAACAAAACAGATGGAAAGTATGAAGCATTCTTAGAAAAACAGGACAAGACACAGAAGAAATAGAGACGTGGAGTTAGATATACCCATTTCTGTCACTAATTGTTTGCTTTTAGACATTTATCTCTCTAAGACTGTAAAAGGTTTCATCACCTGTAAAACCATAACTACCTTAAGATAATTAAATGAAAGTAAAGTGTTTAGAACAGAACCTAGCATTAAGAAGTATTCAAGCCCTAGTCAGTTTGACTCAGTGGATAGAGCATAGGCCTGCAGACCTAAGGGTGCTGGGTTGGACTCCCCCAGTCAAGGGCAAGTACCACAGTTGCATATTCCTCCCCTGCCAGGGCCCTGGTCAAGGTTTGCGCAGGATGCAACCAATCAATGTGTTTCTCTCACATCAATGTTTCTGTCTTTCCCTCTCTCTAAAAATCAATGGAAAAATATCCTCGTGTGAAGATTAAAAAAAGAAAAAGTATTCAATGAATTGTTATTACCAAACAAAGCTGCCAAAAATATACTAGCTTTCCCAAAATAGAATAAAATAATTGCTGCCAGCTGGTATAGTAAATGACTCTGCAGCTGGATCCCTGGGAAGTTGGAAGAAAGTTCAAGCTGAGAACAGGTGCTGTAGAATCGTGGGCCAAATTGTCACTGTCAGGCAGGAGTTCAGGTATAGAAGACTACATGATTGCCCTACAGATTCTAGACAGAGGAATATATCCAACAACTGCTGTTGTTGCTATTTTTACCCTATCTAAGTAGGTAGTTTTAGAGTTAAGAAAAATTCAGCCTCCTTATGACAGAATCTGCTAGTCAGTGAAAAGTAGCTGGTCACAAAGGGAACAAACTCCTATTGCAATCTATTCTACAATCTAGATTGCAATCTAGAAAAACCTATTCTACAATCTAAGTGATGCTTAGAAATAATAACTACCCAAAGCTAAATATCTGGTAAGCATCCCAGGTGAGAGAGGTTGGATAAGGAAGAAGGAAGGTTTAAGAAAGCCAAATCACATGTTGCGATTTCTCAGAATTCCTGTGGGAAAAAGTCATGTAACAGGGCTTGGAGTTTGCCAACTCTTCTTGTCTAAATGAAAGCTAATAAGACATACATATATCTTCTGATAAGATGCTTAATACAATGTGGGCTATCAAGTAAGAACCACACTATTATTAGAGAGACGGAATTCTGGCGAGGGAAGATGGAGTTACTTTAAAGTACTTTGTCAGGAGTGGAGAAACACATAGGGGATGGTCAGTGGATTTCTGTTAAGACAGAAAGCGTGTCAGAAATAATGACATTTACTGGACTTTAAAACTGTTTCTGTTTAAGCATATTAGCTAATACAAACCACTGAAGAAATAGCATGACATATTTCTTTTGAGAGTGTGATACACTTCATTTCTGAAGATAAGCATGCCTAAAATGGTCTTTTATGGACTTCTCTTCAAAATACTGACCACAACAAGATACAGAACCCACACCAGAATGTAAATCAATTCATTTCCTTCTTCGACAGTCTTTCCATGAAAAGAAAAACAAAATCAGGTGAGCTAAACATTGTGCTCAGTGACACAGTTGATTTCCATTCAGGACAACATTCCTCCCTATTGAGGACAGTAACAAACAGGTCTTAGATCGGCAGCTGGTCTGCAGGGCACTCAGAGTAGTCCTGCAGTAAAACGTCTCAAATTTAGGAGAAAGCCTTCCACTTGATCACCTCTATGAAATTAAGAGCCAGGCAGTAAGGAATAGGGCCCCAAAACTTGAGTGAAACCACCCCCCGTGGAGGGTTGGGCAGTGGAAGAAGGGGCAGCAGCCAGGCAGCCTAGGTTCCAGAAGGTTGTCGGCACTCGCCTGCCCCTGAAGCCATAATGCCAAGAGAATGGTCAGTTCCACCAAGGGGGCAGTGAAGGAGCCCAGGAGAAGGTGGGCAAGTTTGTCAGCTAAATCTGCTCCTGCAAAAGTATAAACAAACAAAAAAAAGTACAAACAAAAGGGGGAGAGCAAAGGAAAAACAGGCCAAAGTGGCTAACCAGGAACCTAAAGATCTGCAGAAAATGGAGAAACTAAAACTGAGGGGAGTCCAGCCTTGGATATAGCAGAAGAGAAAGAAGCCAGGTATGATTAATATCCTGTACCATGTCTCATCAGTGGTCCTGCCTCCCTTGTATAATCCAAAGGAATATTTTTATCAACCATTTTGGAAATGCAATGTTTGTAATATAATAGCTCTAGAAACATTTTTAAGAAGGAGGGAATTCCACCTCATCCTATTTTTTAAGTCTAATTTTAGCTTCTTTTGCTGGATTTTTTTTTTTGGGGGGGGGACAACCAGAAAATAGTGAGATATTGAATATGGGAGAGGCTTTGATTATCTTGGGTGTCAGCTTAACATTCCATAGATGGGGTAGTTTTTATATCCTATGATATAAAAGCATCCTAAATGGCAATATGGAGTTAGTCATGCATTTAATATGCCTTGAACATATTAAATTACTTCTATTCTCGTGTTTTTGGTAGAACTGTTTCCTAAAGAAAACCATTCCTTGATCTTGGCCTCTCCCTTTCAGGATTTTGTGCATCTGTAACAATTTTGGTGTAGTAGTTCCAGTTTTCCTAGTAACTTTATTAATGTGCTGTGAAAGATTGAAGATTTGATTATTCTAGAGCATATGATATTAAATTGTGAACTAGTGGGACTTTGATGTAACAGCATATCAACATTTGAAGATATTGGTACTTGATACTCTATTAAGGGAAATTGCAAACTGCACATTTTAAGCTGGAAAGCTGCTGAAATAACTGTTTAGAAAAAAATCACAACCACATAACTTTTTAGAGTTTGGTTACGAAAGTTAAGAATTGTGTACAAACTGAAATGTCTATTACTTATCCTCAAAACACCTGATAAGATCTCAATTATGAAAGAAAAAAATGTGAGTGAATAGATACAGAATGTAGTCTTTACAAAGGAAAGGGGTCAGTCCTAAAGGCCTCAGGCTGCTAGTCCATGGCTGGGGGGGGGGGGGAGGGAATTCCTGTCTGCTCTGAGATTATCACTTTAAGTGATTCCCAAATCTAGGGATTTTCATCATTTCCTTCTTCAGTGATGTATATAATGCTGTGATTTGGGGGAGGACAAAATGCCCGAGATCAGATGAGGTTAAAGCATCTTGGGAGAGTGCCTTTTAGAAGGAGGGTAATTCGGTGTCTTCTCAGAAACAGGTCAACATCTACTTTTGGAGGTTGTGTCTACATCATCTGGTATAAAGGCTTCTAGCATGATTTTCAACTTCAGAGTCTACTGTTTTTGCTTAAATGTGTTATGTGGTCCCTATGCCTGATGATATCTCTACCTAGAGGAGACTATATCTCCTTTTCACTTACATTATCAACACCCACATAACTATCCAAGGATATGAGGGCCCTTTTGTTAGTTACCATCTTAAAAATACTTGGGGGGAAATTCTGATTCCCCTTAGTTCCAGAAAGGTTTTCAGATGAAACAAATTACTAAATCTAGAAGTGACCGGTGTATATATCACAAGAGAAGGAGGCATGTATTGGAGGGATCTCACAAAGCCCTACGTAGCATTATATAAAGTGGTTTTGGAGAGTTTATTGGTATTTCTGGTATGTGACCTGGATTCCTGACCTTACCCTTTATAAACAGCTGTCACTTGTGTATTCCTGACTGCTATCCGAGGGAAAACAAGATGCAAACTGTCCAACCATTGATAAAATAAGACCCCTAGTCAGAAGAAAGGTAAGACATAAAAGTCCTGAAGGGAGGGCCAAAAAGAAAAAAAAATGTGATTTATAAGGCACTGGGGAATAAAAAGCTTTGTAGAACTTAAACTACTAGATCTTGAGTACAAAAACTTGGGAAAGGGATCAACATTACCCTATAAGGAATGAAAATAACAGACTATCTGGGAAAGAAAATTCATTTTCCAGGGTTGATGGGGGAGCCCTACAGGCCTAGAGCTTTGCTGAATCTTGGGTGCTATCTGGCGGTGGAAGAATGCAGAAACTTGACTCTGGAATTCCCTGGGAGAAAACAGCTGTGCCCTCACTCAAAA